CAATGGGCTGAAAAAAAAAGTATGTCCCAGTAAGATTTTGTAACAACCTATATCACGCGAACACCCGTAACCCTCGAGGCCAATTTGACAGAATATGTTTTCGCACGCACCTTGAGGCCAAATCATCGATGACCATTCCAAAACTCTAACTCTACTGCTCGAACGGATATAGTTCATTTCACCATGGTGTTTTTCTTCTCACTCTTAATACCCGTTATTTTACGAGGACGAAAGTTAACCGGTTTCATAGTACGTTTTGTTATAGCTATAGGATACGAATCTTTTGAAATTACTATGTTACACGTGAAATTTTAGAAATACTCCAATAGCGGTCAATTTTTTGAATTATGGAGAGACGATATAATTGTGCGTTAATTATACAAAACTATTTTTTTTTGAGTTGTCTAATTGTTCAAACCTTCTTGTAGAACGAATGTTTTCTGGTGCTGTTTTGAAAAATTTTTAGAATCTCGCAAAATTTCAAATTTATCTACGTGCATGGCACTGTAATCATACGAATGAAACAACTGTAAGAAAACATTATGATCTATGATCAGTGGCACTTGCCATTTGCGTTTTCCTGTAGCACGATGTATCGCTCTTATTTTGCAAGACCATTTATTTCACAGCAACACTTGTCCGTCTATCCCCCCGACCCTCTCCAAGAATGGTTGATTGTTGTAATAAAATATAGTAGAAAAATACTTGAATAGTTTCCTCGCGCGATATATAAATCTCAGTAATAGCGTCGCTGATTACGAAGATTTTTTTGTTTTGGCAATAAAACTTAGATTACAGGAAATATCATACCATAAATTCTAATTACGAGCGTTTCTGTAAAGTATGATATTAATTTTTTTATATAACGGTATTACGCATGTGCAATGTCATATTTACCTGCCTGCATGTTTATGCAAAAATTATCTCATATATATTTGCCGTTAATATTTATTAAAATCAAAGTAATATAAGTTTGCGGTAGTAAACATAATGTCCATCTAAATTAGAATAATCAGAACAGTTTAAAATATGATTACCTGTAAGAAGATGAAAATAATGACAATCAATTACCTATTCAAAAAAATTTTAATTAATGTTACTGTTTGAATAGTCTTTGAATTTTTGGTTTTTTATAAAATAGTTCATTTTCTTAATGTCACTACAGCAACCATGAACCTAAGAACTGCATTGTTTTTCAATCTGTCAGAAAGAACACGTCTACCTAGTAGACCGAATATATGTATGTCTGGTAACACCACTTTAGTGACCTATGTGCCATCTTGCAGTATCTTCGATTATCGCAGCAAGAACATAAGAACCAGAACCCACTTTTTCTACATTAGGAAAAACAAATGAAGTACTTTTATGCCTTTCAAACGGAATTCAAATCACCGATCACGAATATCAAATGTAAAATTACAGGGACACAAGACTCTTTTTCCTTTCCTTCGACTGTCTCCTACCAAATCGATCTGGACGCATTGCAATCTACTTATTCCATCCTTGGATCCATCGCTGATTCTGAAACATCACACTTTCGCTGCAGACCCCATTTTTGAGGACCCAATGTTTTTTGACGTACGACAATCAGCGCGTATCTGCGCTATGATGCCTTCTTCTCTAGTGAGATCCCTACTATGAGATTCGGAAGAGAACGGCGTTTTTCTAATTTCAAAGTCAACGACTTCACGAGCGATTCCACTCTAGACATCGTTTAAAGTAAATTTGATTTCATTGATTCAATTTTAAATAATAATGATTTTATCATTTTTTTATAGTAATTTTTAAAGGTGAATATTTTAGAAACTGGAATTCGCATTAATATTTTTGGCAGGAACTTGAGATTTTACGATTTCTTAAAGGCATTAACAAATTGTGTGATACGATCATCAAGCCTCTTTAAGTACATATTATAAATGTTTTAATCAGTTGATTGGTAGATGCGCAGTAGAGCTTCAAGGGTGTCCTAACTCAAATTGGTAGACGTACCCTATTGTATCATAGTTTTTAATCCACACGTTGTCTCAAAAAATTGTAAATTGTTTTTATATACTCGATATACATATAAAGGTTTTTAGGTTCAAGGAACAGAAATTTGGCATTCAAAATTGCAAATTTCAAAATAGCCGATCCGATATAGCCATTGTAAAATGTGGTAAACTCCATCGAATGTCCGTAACCAGACACGATTAAAAATAAGTGAGGTTAATGGACGAAGGAGAAAATATTGATTTATTGCTAATTTTAAGCATGCCAGTATACGCTAATTCATATGATGTGATTAAAAATAGTCATTATCAATCTGCGTCTGTTTTATTGTAACGTTTTCGAGGAAAATAATATTTCACATCTGATGACTTTCAACATACTTTTTCTTATTCATACAAATTGCATATTGTATGCACCGGAAATATCTGGAGGTCAGCAAGTCGATTTATTTTTATATTCTACAAATGTCTTAGGTCTGAGAATGTAATAAATTGCACTCCACTCTTATGTAATTGAATTTTTTTGTTTAGCATTTATAAAATTTATTCTTCTGTATCGTACAATGAATACAAATAATTGACAAGAGGTTGATATTGCATTGTCAATTTCATAGACTAAAATTCCTTTTACTTTTAAAAATTAATGAGCTTTATATGCTGTCATGATTTAAGAATCATAAATTAACAAAAAGTTCTAAACATGATACAAAAAATGTATCTTAATATAAGAAATTAGTTTTAATTTTCATTCGATGGAATTTTCTTGGCAACGTTTGATAATAAATGTTAAGGATGTAAATTAACGATGAATGATTTATTTTGTAAATACGCATCGCTGTTAGTTCCGGGAGCACAAGATGAATAGGTGAACAGAAATATAATGTTAAATATATGTTGCAATTGCATTCTAAAAAATATACAGTATTTTTCCACACATTTTTTTAGTTTAAACAAACGATAGTTGACTTTACAAAAAGAATGAATTACTTTTTATAGATTTATTTGAAATAATCGTTTAGAAATTTTTGTATGTTGATACATCGAACTAGTACAGAACTTAATCTGCCAGTTGCGTCACTTCTAATTTTACATGGTCATGGCTATTTCCTGGTAAGCAGCAACAATATAGAATCTCTATTCATAATTTATGGATGATTTATTAGTGCCTCAAGGTTCACTCACAAAGTATACCTATAGTGATGAAGATCGTGTACATGATTGAGTACTCTTTTGAGCAAATGTAATTAATAATAAGTTCTGCCGAAAAAATACGGTACTAATGTTTCTACCGGGATCAATAACCCATTATCTTTAAACTTGTAGATTTTTTCATGCTTGTATAGTCCGAGCGAAAACACTTTTGATGGAAGTAAAAATTTGGTCAAATACTGCAAATATCCCTCATTATAATTCCGTATATGAAAATAGGTCCTTATACAAATTTTAAACCGCACCCCCACCAAGGCATAACTCGATCAGATTACACTATATCTGGATTTACGGGGTATGACTGAAAATAATTTGGCGTTCTAAATTATTGTAGAAGACAATTATATATATCGTATATTTGACAAAGCTGGAAGAAACACCTAAACCAAAAATTTATCAAGTGAGAGAATAATTTTGTTTCCTTCTTTGTACGATAACCTGAACTTTCTATAGATTGTATTTATTAGGCTTGACCGTATGGAACATGTGGTAGTGCCTTATGTAATCGTAATTGGAACAAAAGAGATGTATGTGTGTCAGTGTGTACACGTGGGAGATTGTAAATGCACCTTTATTCAAAATTCGGGTTGAATTTTAGAGAAAAGATTAAGCTCCGCATGTAGTAGCAATAATAATGTTAGCAAATATTCAGCAGTTTCGAGCCTAAAGGTTTAAGTCCGCGAATTTTCTGTTGTGAGATTGCGAATGCATAAGACGCATCATTTGCAGCCAAACTTGTTTTCTCCGATACTGTATCTATGAAATCTACATTATACATGTGCATATATGTGTATATAGTATATGTATATATCCTTGAGAAATATTATCGAATACAAAAAAAGAACATTAAGCACGGCCTTGCATAAGAGTACATTGTACTTTGCAATATATGAATTTCGCGAAACACAATTGACATATTTAGGAGGACACGTATGTTAAAACAAACATATGTCGTAATTATGAGAGGTCAATGATGATTTTGTAAATTAATTATTTCTTCACTTCTTTTTTTTTTAAGAATCTGGGGATTATAAATAGATATCTGGCACTCACAAGTACGTAAATCGTAAATTACACAGAATTTATGCATTATCTTTATTAAATTCTAGTGCACGCTCATTTATCTGAGTTCCCCAATTACTGAAATGACTCTTTCGTAAGGAATAATTCCGACTGAGACTTGTGCAAAATTTTAGTCGGAGAATCTTTCACGTCGAAAACTTGCATGCGTCTCGTTCCTTCATTTCGCAATCATTCCGCATAAAAGTATCACGCAAGTGATTGTACAGCTTACAAAAATCTGCGTGCGCTGCGATTGCAGAAGAATTTATTATTACATGTTTGTAGAATTTTTCATTTTGAGATTAGAAAGTACTTCCAAGTACCCTTAACATTCGTTCAATGAAACAATCAATTACAACTTAAAATATATCAGATAAATAAGTTGACTATTCTTCTTAAACCTGGGCTTAGGTGCTCCTAGCTTAAATTTCAACATAAATACTATCATATTGACTTCTTCGGAATCTATCTTACTAGGCATTTCGAAATGTCTGGCTTTGAGACAAATAAAAAAAATGTTCGCAAAATCAATGTCGTTTATTTTACCAACGAACTTAAATTGTCCAATGATTAATATTAGTAAAAGTCGATAATTTCAAAGCTCAATCAATCTCAATGCCATCAATCAAGTTCATTAGATAGTATCTATGACAACCAATGAATTTGCGGGTGGGGCTTATTATGCCATTGATGTCTCAAGGCTAACAATAAAAGAAGCAAAGACTTCCGAATAGTACTTACTGTGTTTCAGCTTGCCGCATTCCGAAATAATTATGCTGAGAGGCTTCGGTATTTGTTCCGGTCGAATTTCACCACCTTTCCGTGATTTGATGCCAAAAAGGGCGTTCCTGCCCACCTTCATGTACTGCCTGCCGACTTTCTTCGGAGATTCCACCCCGAAGAGGGAGGTTATGAACTTCATTTTAAAAACTTAATTTAACGTTGAATTTCACAAAAAGTTCCACTAGAATTATCTTTTCACTCGAAGATTCCACCCACCCACCCTCAATTTTATTAAAGCTTTTAAATTATATTATTTGATTGCGAACGCTACAGTTACAATCTTTTTCTTTAATATATAAAATACCAAATTATTGAAATTAATTATTTATTAATAGAAAGTCCGTAGTTTTATTTTAATGTTTCAAAGTTTCTATATCGTATAAACAATTACTGATGTAATTAATTTATGCTCACGTCACTTCGCCCAACATCATTTCATTACAAAATATTTTATGTGGTTCACTTATCGATTGTCGAAAAACATAATTAATTTGGTGTCACGATCACGATTAGTGCTTGGAAATATTTATTTAGACTATTCATTATAGAATAGATTCAAGTACGTTTAAAAAAATTGAGTTTACTCCAAAAGACGTTTTTAAAATGCCAATTGGTCCACCGTTGTAATTTTTGAATTCAACGTGTACAGAATTGTCCAATCTGAAAAAAAGAAATGTATTTCAATAATATGATAAGAGGTATATTTACGCGCTTTAACACTAGATTTACGGAGGTTGATTATCAGCGTCAACAGAAATTTCTAAAAAATATTATTTATAATTTCTTTAACATTAATTTTCGAACTTTACGCCTTTGTGACACACCTTTAAATTCCATACTAGCCGGTGCGAGTTTGCAATTCACCTCAGTGTGGAATTTAAGGGTTTAACATGAAATTTGAAATCCGTCAAAATGACGGGTTCCGTAAATCTAGTGCTAATAAGATAATTTAAATTTGTGTCTATTGCTACTGTCAATTAAGCAGCAGCGACAACGGTGATCAATGTCATCATAAATTGCATGAGGTTCGGCAATAATTGGCATGATGTTATATCAATTAAATTAAAGATAGATTCTTCTCTATGTCTATTGAATATCGAGATTAAGACATAACTTTCCGCTCTTTGAATAAACTTAAGTGTAAAATCGTTTATTAGTTCGTGAGAGAAACTAATAAGGCATTAACGTGTTGGATTTGGAGATAGCGTGTTTAATTAATATAAGATAGATTCTTCTCTATATCTATTGAATAACGATATTTAGACATAGGCTTTCTGCTTTTTGGATAAACTTAAAAGTGTAAAATCGTTTAATAGTTCGTGAGAGAAGCTAATAAAGTATAAACGTGTTGGATTTGATGATAGCATGTTGATTCATGCAAAATTTATCACGAAATCATTTAAAAAATCAATAATGTACGGACCATTCGTGATGTCGATCATGCGAAACACATGCTTAGATAAACGTGTTCGTTTGAAAAATGTCAAATGATTCGTATGACAAAAAGTATTAGTAATTCTATGACAGTTAAATAAACATATATTATATTCGATCGTAGAACAATGTATTTAGATATTACAGATTTGTGAAATCATACAAGAGTTCTTGTTGTCATGTGGAAAATTTCTTTTCACTATAATGACAACACGCAAACCATCATTAGGGTCACTCTTGACTCGAATGAAGAAATCAAGAAAACCGCACGCATCTTTTTTATTACAGAACAATAATAAGAAATGAAGTCGCGTTACTGCAGCACGCGATTTCGATATTTTTCTTTTCCGGAAGTGCAATTATTTTTGACGTAAATTTCACCGTCGCTATCAATGACACGTCAGCATGCGATGTGACATGTATTGGAATAGAAGACGACTCAAATATTAACCAGTACGAGCTTATTGTTGTAGTTGCCATGTAAATTATTCTGCCATTAGGAAAGTTATTTTTAACAAATTTTTTTTTGTATATCATCCATCACATTGCTATACTTAAATTTAAATGTAACGAGGAGCCGTTTTTACTCGACGCGTTTATACGCTCGAAAAACTGTGACAGGATATGACAAAGTTAATGTAGCTTTCGAAAAAGCGCAAGAAAATTTTAGCGCAATTCGTACGGTCACTTATTTATCTTGATTAGCGGTGTGCCGGCATGCGAAAGAATTTTCCAATTGCATTGCGGTTTACAAAACTCGATAAATGAGGGAGAGACTCGTTTGGTTGCTCAAGACGTTTGGAAATGACTGTTGCACTGAATGCATCATAGCTTACGATGTACATAAGTACATGCTGCACTTGGAAGTAAAAGTCTGTCCAAGTAATCCTGTATATAGGGCGATTCTTATAGTATATACATATATGGTTATTCTTATATGTATATTTTGTCTGCTTGTATTAAGTATTATGATATTTAACGTTAAATGGGTTCGACACTGTTCTACAAAAGAAGGTTAAGAATTATTGTGAAAGCTCTTAATTTTCTTTAAATCAGACAAATTGATTTGAAGATTGATAAATTTCATTGCTACATGCAAATCGGAGATTTTTAACGGAGAGACATTTGGTTTATGCTATAACTACTGTTGAAAGATTGAACGTGTCGTTGAAGTGTGAAAATTAGTTACAGTGTCTAATGTCGAAAGTCGTTTTTTTTTTCGGCAAATGAGAGACATTAATTCACGCATGACTTAAATGGCTATTTTTGTGATTTTATTTTCTAGATAATAAGGCAAAGATTATTTCATATTACTTTTAGCTAAACATTTGTTATATAACGTATACATAAATTCTGTATTATTTAATTTTTATTTGAAAAGCATTATTTTGATTTTGGAACTTCTACCAATATTTTTAGATGGTCGAATAAAATATATTCTTTTAAACTAGCAGCACAATATGATTTGTTATTTTTATTATTTTCACTTGACTTCTGAAAATATACAATTTATTACAATAAAATTCTATAAAAAATTGAATAATGAAATTACTTAGGTGAATTTTCAAAATTCATTTTTGACACATCATTTTGATTCTTTCGCAAATAAGTATTTAAAAAATTAAAGAGATAATTGCCTATATTCATTGACTTTAAAAGCCTAATGCTGCCTGTAATGTGACATCTATTCGAAACGGAGAGCATAAATTTGTTCACAAATTTTGGAAACCTATTTTGTCTTTTTTCATACGTAGACGTTGTGGGGTAATATTTATACCCTAGTAAAATGAAATGAGAGAATCCTATGGTGGATGAATTTCATATTAATTGAAACGTATACACTCGTCAATCACAAACAAAGAAACAGTTTATTCGAATTTTTATTAAAGATTTTTTACGTAAAATTGCACATATCTAAAGTCTGAAGAGAAGTGTTCAAAAAAGTAATATTGTGAAGATTCGTGACAATTTAAGGCACTTATCATATTATGCCATTAAGAGAGAGCGAGAAGACGTAAGTTGAGATACACGTTGCAATTCTCAAGATTCGTTTCTATTGAGTACGTTTGGACATTTACTACCTAGGTAGTACAGCTGTACTATGATTGTCATCGTGTCCTTATTTACCTATCGTGCAATAGAGTGAAACACAACCATGCTTGCAGTAATTTCCAGAATGAACGTATATGAGTTCTATTTGTTCTAATTTGTGTGGGCGAATTAAAAATGGAATTATCTTATTCTTTTTTTCAAAGTGAATTGCATAAATTTAATTGTCATCTTTGTACGCTTGTTTAACAGATAAAGATTAGTCAATTTCAAAAATATGCAGATAGAAATTCAAGTTACACATATGTGAAAAAATCATTTTCAAAATGTCTTAAAGATAACTACTGTGCCATTATTATCAAATTGAGGATATCATCTGTCAAGCTTGAGTCAAGACTGCAAATTCTGTAAAATTTCTGGGATCAAGGAACGAGAATGTATTCGTTTATTCCATATATGATACCTCTATTACTGTAGCCACTTACAGAAGTATTACGTCCACTCAACAACTGTTTCTTTTATTACTTGATTTCACCTGAGGTACAATCTTCAATAAGGAAGAAGAAGAAGAAAACGGTTTCTACAAGATACACCTATGTCTCGTTTCCAGAAATAAAATTGTCTTTACAAATTTTAAACGATGCATAATAAACCTAATGATGCTGAAATACAAAAATTATGATATAAAAGAGACTATACGCTATCTTTATATTATTGAGAAAAATATGCCTGAAACTTTGCAATTATATCAACTTCAAACTAATGTAATTATAACCATTGATTATATACCTAGAAAATATGTTTTCAGAAAAAGATCACGTATGTTAAATCACTCCCCAAGTAAAAATATTTGATATGGCAGTGGTGTAAAATACGTCTAGAATAAGTTTTTCAAGTTCAGCTTGAGTATAAGAACTGATTCTTCTAAGTTTTGCAGAGACTGATGGCGATTATCATGTCCAGAAAAAATTCTAGTAGAGCTAGGCTTCTACCAATTATTTTCTACTTGGTATGGAACAGGTCTTGCCAAGCTAGACTCTAACAATCAGGTATAGCATCCTGTACCATATGTAGATGTATTTTACACCTGATCTAAACATGAGCCACATTTGCGTTATTCTTGAGCTAGACTTCGTATGACGGTTTGCAAGTATACAAGAGGTCTAGAACAAGTACGGGAAAGTTCCAGTGAAATGACTTTAGCTGTACTGGAGCTGTACAACGTCATACATGTCATGGACTTTGATTCTCTAAACGTCATATAGGCTCTTCCAATACTTAAATATAAATCTGATATGCATCCAATTTTTTTTACTCGTAGAATCAAGATTAACTGTCATGCAGTACATCAATGTTTCTATGAAAAGGCAACTTTTTAATGTTTTGACACTACTTATGTCAAAAAGTTTTTAATGCAATATCTATGTCATGAATATGATAAGCTAGTAATGATAACTAATATTGTTCAGATATTATTAGCAGAAGAATCATCGTTTCAATTTCTATTTTTTTAACTCCCTTGTATACCCGAAGTCAGGTATAAAAGAGGCATTAAGCATTCAAATGATAAACTTGATTTTATTTTAGAAATTAATAAAATCAGATATATATTAGATTTACGTAGCATGATTCATTCATTCTCAAATTCAAATTATATATTTTAAATGGTGGAACACCCATTGGTATTTTACGATACGATGGAATATATGTAAATCAGTCATGACTCTTCAAAATTTGTTAGTCTCTCTTCCGTATACTGATATCGGTACTAACGAACAAATAGGTATTAATCCTTGAAATCTGTATAGTCACCGATAAATTTAATTTACAAAAAGCGGTTGATCGGGTAAAGTAAAACTTCCTGAGACTTTGAGTGAATGTACAATGGGAATGAACTTACCGCGTTTATTCCGTTATACAATTTGTTCTGAGGAATAACTAGTTACCTTCAGCGGAATTCAATCGCGTTTCTGATCGCTCGTGCATTACGGTTTTTTAATTGGTAACTGACATCTAGACACGTGCAAATCAGAATTACAAGCATTTGAAAGATTGAACGTTCACTACAATAATTTACGTATTCGGTAGTCGTATATGAATTAATTTCCTGTCAAATGAAAATATTAATAAAACATGACAATCGAATGATGCAGCTACCGTAATGTTTAAGCAGTCAT